CCCAACTTCAAACTACACTACAGAGCCATAGCAATAAAAACAGATAGTACTGGCATACAAAAAGAGACATGAAAACGAGCAGAACAGAATAGTGGATCCCAATATGAATCCACACAACTATACTCATCTACTCTTTGACAAAAGTGCCAAAAACATAAGATGAAGAAAAGACAGCCTCTTCAACAAATGTTGCTGGGAAAAGTGGCTAATCTGCCTGCAGAACACTGAAACAAGATCTGTGCCTATCACCCTGTACTAGTATCAGCTCAAGGTAGATTAAGGACTTTAATATCAGACCTGAAACCTTGAAGCTTGTACAGGAAAGAGCAGGGAATACTTTCGAAGCAATAGGTATAGTCAAGGACTTCCTCAGTAGAACTCAAGTGGCTCAGCAACTAAGAGAAAGGCTGGACAAATGGGACTACATGAAATTAAAAAGCTTCTGTACAACAAAAGAAATGGTCTCTAAATTGAAGAGGCCACCCACAGAATGGGAGAAAATTTTTGCTAGCTGTACATCAGACAAGGGACTAATAACCAGAATATACAAGCAGCTCAAAAAGCTAAACTCTCCCAAAATGAATGACCCAATAAAAAAATGGGCAACTGAACTAAACAGAATTTTTCAAAGGAAGAAGTCCAAATGGCTAAAAAACACATGAAAAAATGTTTCCCATCCCTGGCCATGAAGGAAATGCAAATCAAAACTACACTAAGATTCCACCTCACTCCTATTAGAATTGCTATCATCAAGAACATCAATAACAACAAATGCTGGTGAGGATGCAGGGTAAAAGGAACCCTCATCCACTGCTGGGGGGAATGTAAACTAGTATAACCACTTTGGAAAACAATATGGAGGCTTCTAAAAAAACTGAACATAGATCTGCCATATGATTCAGCAATACCACTCCTAGGGATATACCAGAAGGAATGTGACTCAAGGTACTACAAAGGTATCTGCACACTCATGTTTACTGCAGCGCTATTCACAATAGCCAAGCTATAGAAACAGCCAAGGTGCTCCACTACCAACAAATGGATTAAGAAAGTGTGGTAATTATACACAATAGAATTTTACTCAGCTGCAAAGAATGAAATTTTGTCATTCATAGGTAAATGGATGGAACTGGAGAACATCATTTTAAGCGACATTAGCCAGGCTCAGAAGGCCAAAAATCGCATGTTCTCCCTCATATGCAGATTATAGACCTAAAACAAATACAGTAATATTATTGGACACAGGTCACACACTAAGGGGAGACAGTTCACAGGAAGGATAGGGAAAGAGAAGGAAACTAAAAACTTGAATGTGGTTGATATGCTCACTGTACAGGAACAAATATAGTAATCTTAAACCGGTAGAGGCCACTATGGGAAGGGACCAGAAAGTAGTGAAGAGGTCTGGTAGAGATGAACCAATTTGGGTTGTAATACACATGTGCATGGAAACAACACAAGGAATCTCCCTGTATAGCCATCTTTATCTTAAACCAGCAAAAATTATCTTTTATGTTTTCTCTTCTACAAAATTAGAGAACAAGGGGGCAGACCAGGTTCTGCCCAGAAGTAGGGGGTGGCCCAAATAATGTATACACATGTAAGTAAATGAAAAAATGATAAAAGAAAAGAAAAAGAAAAAAATGAGAGGATATGAAGGAGTAATACACGTGGCAAATATGATCAAGGTACATTACTCAGAAATAAAAATTTCACAATGAAACTGCTTTGTACAACTAATTTATGCTAATAAAATTTTTTTAAAAAACTTTATGCTGTATAGCAAATAAAAAAACTTTGACAATTACAGATACTGAATTAACTGAGTAGAAAAATTCATGTAGAAGTAAAATTCTGTCTAGAAGTAGTGGTTTATTTCCTTAAGATTTATATTCCAAACAGTGTTTTCCAATGTTGTCCTAAAGAATACTGAGTTCTTCATGATTAAGGGGTTACAAAATCAAATGGAAAATGATACATCCCTTTTCTACAATTTGAAGAGATGAAATGCTTATTAGTGTGCTATGAATTTGTGAGAAACATTTTATTTTAGGAAGTCTAAATATTTATTGATGTTTCTCAAACTTTTTAGCCATAGCCCCCCCCCCTTTTTTTTAGTACTGGGGATTGAACTCAGGATCTACACCTTGAGCCACTCCACCAGACCTCTTTTGTGAAGAGTTTTTTGAGATAGGGTCTTGTGTACTATTTGTCTGCACTGGTTTGAAACTGCCATCCTCCTGATCTCTGCCTCCTGAGTAGCTAGAATTACAGGCATGAGCCACAGTGTCCTATTTACCCCTGACCCTTTTTAATGGCATATACTATGAGACATCCCAGGGTCCTTGCAATGCTCTTTCAAGTGGAATCAAGTATTGGACAGTGTGTTCGATTATTGATTCATCTTGCACTTGTGTGTTTGAGGGCAGAATAAGCCTTATACATTAAACATTCACATACCCAAAATATATTCACTGTTGTCTTTTAAGAAGAAACAAGCAATACATACATAGATAAGCTATCTTTGCTTCCTAAAATAATAGAGATGTCTGGAAAAGCTTTGGGTTTGTCTCCTCTACACTTTTTGTAACTTACTAGAGATCTAGCTTTGAAGGTCTCAGCTCAAAATAACAAGGCCTGATATGAAGCAATGGCCCCCAAAGGCTTCTCCTTTTCCAATTAGGAAGTTCTCTCAGAATTGCATATGAGCAATTCCATGTTTAATGCATATATGTTCCATATAATATTTGGGATATACTTAATGCTGAAAATTACTCATGGTTTATTTGAAATTTACATTTAACAAGGCATCCAGTATTTTACCTGGCAACCCTATTCTCTATAATGCATGCACCAACTTTTTGCTTTTGTCTAAATCATAGAACAATAAGAGTTTCAGAGACTGTGTACACTCTTTTCTGTTTTTCCTCTTGAGATTTGCCTCAATAAACTATTTTATATCTATACGGTGTGACATTAGCAATGTGTGCCCACAACTCCTTTGCAAACATAAGTAAAATAACTGATTTTTCCTGCCATATTATGAGTAATTCAACAAAAAATAATGACACACTAAAGAGGAAATATTCATGAGCAAGGATATAGATTTGAGTTATTACTTTGCCAGTTATCTGACCTTGGGCAAGACTTTGGTTTCCGGAGTCTAATAGTCTCTACAGATTCATTTTATATTTTCATAACTCTAAATAGGCTAAATTTGCCAGTGTCTTGATAAACTGAGGTAATGCTTGCATATTTTGGAGGCAATGGAAACAGCTACCTCCAAGTTAAAGAAAACCAAAGGACTAGCTAAATGATAGTCCTTATATTTACTGTATATTTGGTTTTGAGACTGGGTATCACTATGTTGCCCTGGCTGGTGTTGAACTCAGTGATCTAGGGCTGCAGGTGCCTCACATGCCTGGCTTGTTAGTCCTTACACTTAATTAAAATTCATTTATTTCAAACATAAATGTCACTTATAGACTAAAAATATACCTTAAATAAGTTCACAAATTATAACTATTTATCACACATATAAAATTTTGAGTATCTGTCATTTCCTAGACAGCTAGTACTTACCAAATCACTTTTATTCCAAACCACTAAAAAGGCAATTGAAAAACTTGATAAAACTTGTCTGTGGTATCTCCAAGAAATTATAACATTCTCACAGGTGTGATGGAAGCTACCTATGTGCAAAGGATATACCCAATATCTGTAACAGATTCTCCAAATACTGTTTTAAATAGGATTCCTCTGGACAAAGCATCCATAATGCTAGCTCATTTTGCCTTAACTTGTTATTAAAGACAGTGACGATAAATGTATTTCTTTAGTTGAGTACTACGCTTTCCTGCCTCCCATAATCTGAATCTTAGGCATTGATTTCAAGTGCTTAAATGACATGCTAGGAGAGAAGAACGCTTGACTACTAGTATTAAAATACAAAATAAAAGTAAGAAGTTTCAAATTGCACCAATGGGCATGACTGGTACACATGGATGGCAGCTAGTTAAATAGAGGAATTCACCTAATTTGAAATTTAAATTCAAAATTAGAACGTAATTATAAAAAATGGCATTTATCTAAATTTCAATTTTAACTGAGTATTTGATATTTTTGTTTGTTAAATCTAGCAATCCTCAATGGATCACCCAGTCTGAGATATTTCCAGTTGATATATTTTTCCTAAAACATTTTTTTTCTTTTATTCATATGTGCACACAATGTTTGGGTCATTTCTTCCCCACTGCCCCCACCCCCTCCCACCCCCTCCTTTCCCCACTCCCTCTCCCTCTCTCCCCCTACCTCCTCACTACCAGGCAGAAACTATTTTGCCCTTATCTCTAATTTTGTTGAAGAGAGAGTATAAGCAATAATAGGAAGGACCAAGGGTTTTTGCTAGTTGAGATAAGGATAGCTATACAGGGAGTTGACTTGCATTGTTTTCCTGTGCATGTGTGTTACCTTCTAAGTTAATTCTTCTCGAACTAACCTTTTCTCTAGTTCCTGGTTCCCTTCTCCTATTGGCCTCTGTTGCTTTAAAGTATCTGCATTAGTTTCTCTGCATTGAGGGCAACAAATGCTATCTAGATTTTTGGGTGTCTTACCTATCCTCCCAAGTGTGCTCTCACTTTATCATGTGATCAAAGTCCAATCCCCCTGTTGTGTTTGCCCTTGATCTAATGTCTGCATATGAGGGAGAACATACAATTTTTGGTCTTTTGGGCCAGGCTAACCTCACTTAGAATAATGTTCTCCAGTTCCATCCATTTACTTGCAAATGATAACATTTCATTCTTCTTCATGGCTGCATAAAATTCCATTGTGTATAAATACATTTTCTTAATCCATTCGTCAGTAGTGGGGCATCTTGGCTGTATCCATAACTTGGCTATTGTGAATAGTGCTGCAATAAACATGGATGTGCAGGTGCCTCTGGATCACCCAGTCTGAGATATTTCCAGTTGATATGTTTTTCCTAAAACATTTGTTTTGATTTTTATTTTTCTCCTAGATTTTGGAGAGTCCACTTAGGATAGTTATAATTTTCCCCATCATTAACATCGATTTGTTTTTAACAAAATCGCTTTCCTACTATTAAGATTATAGTCTACAGACATATATTAAGAAGACGTCAACATGTCACCTACCTGTGAGTAACTTATGAGAAGGCCACATAATAAAATATTTCTCTTTTTCACTTCCTTTGCAAATTCCCTAATCCACATTAAGTTTTCCATTCTCTGACTGAGAGGCACCAATTTGAAATCAAAGAAATGCACCTGTAAAATATACACAAGAAAGTATCATTCCTTTCAACTTTCCTCTTAAAAAAACTAACACTCAAAACAATGATAATATTCAAATAATTTTTATTAATTTTTATTTATTTATGGTTGTGTTTCAAGTCATAATTATTTTTAAAAGACAACAAATCCTCTTTTATAAAGACACAGTAAATACTCACTTGAGATTGCCATGTTGAAAAATTTAAAATCCTAACATTTTATTTCAGTACATCAGTAGAATATATAAATATGATTTCATTAACTTAACTCACAATTTTAACTAGCTTTTCTACTTACCATGCATATTAATAAATTAACACTATATTGAAATTCATTGGTGGTAATTAAGTAAAGTATTTCAGGAGAATTAATAATTGGCATCTCTAACAGATGATTATTTCTTAAATTAAACCCAGAGGGCTTTTGTATAGAATGATATTTTTAGCAGTGTTAAGCTGTGCTCCTGAAAATACTCAAATGATGATTTTTTAGAAAATAAATGTTTTAGAAAATTAAAGCAGAAGGAAGGACATTCTGTGGGCTAAGCAGGTGAAGACTAGATAATGAGATAAGGTCACCCTGCGACCTTGGGCTCACCTTCACTTGGCTCTGTTTCAAAGGTAGTATTTCATCTGTTTCAGGAGGCAGTGTCACTTAAGACAAAAATAACTCCTGTCTGGTGACCCACAAGTAGGCTTGAGGCACTGTGAGTGAGCTATCAGGTCATATACTAGACCTTCCATTGTACAGTTTAGCTTGTAAACAGGTATTTCAAACCTGAACTGTAAATGTCCACCAGCTATTGCAAGAGATGCTGGTTCCTGTTTGTAACTTAAGCCTCCTAAAAGGATTGCTCACATACCACCTTCTGTGATCTCCTTCCCTTACCCATGAACTGCCAGGGGAGTGCGTAGTGGGAAGCAGCCCCCATACTGATAAGAGGTGGTAAGATGAAGAAAGGAACCCAGCTCTGCCCTGTTGAGCAAACTAGTGCTTACAAAAGCTTCTTTCCATGAATTTGCAATGTTCAGGTGAACCAAATTCACTGATGGTAGGGGTACAAACCAAAAGCAAACTAATTCACCAATCAGGAAGTAAAGTGAAAGGAAGGAAGTGAAGTCAGATAACAGGATGTAAAACTTTCTCAAAAGCCAGATGACAATGTAAGGTTTGTTGTAACTCTCTCCTCTTTGTCCTGACTATTCTTACCTAGGAAATTTTCTTATGAGCTGATGCCACTTCTGGATTATATGAACCTGATTCCCATGTTTACCAATCACATAGAAGGTAATTTCTTTACAGAAACATGTGTTATAGCAAAAACATCTAGGCTGAAGTGAAAGACATGATACTACAGTTTCCAGAGTTCCTATAAACTCATAAGATGTATCAATAGAGGCTGGAAGATTTTCACTCCAACTATATGTCTATAAAATATAGCATGCTCAATTCCTCGGAGCCAAAAAAAAAAAAGTTAATGCCACTTAAAAGGAAATCAGTAAGTCAAAAGTGCTGTTTATCACAGATTCCATGAATTAAAAGAAACATAAAAGTGAGTTCTAGGAAAGCTATTTATACATCTCACCGCCTTATCCTTCTTCCCATCAAATCAAATACTTAAATGACAGGGAAACGATGAGACACGAAGTAGCAAGACAAAGACGAAACATTACAGGTCCTTACTGTGAATATTTACTATATGTTTAGCATTGTGTCAATTGATGCAAATAACTTTTAAAGCAACACAGGTATGGATCTTGACCTTAGGAAATATATAACCAAGTTAACAAAATTCAAGCATGAAGTAGTAGACCACATTTCAAAACTCTCTTTTACCAGACACAAAGGCCTGATGCCGTCATGAAAAATGGGAAAATCTCTAACAGATGTTCTTCTTGATACCATGATCTTAAGTATATACTTTACATTGTGCTACTAATTTTGAACTTATAAAACACAAACTCATAAGTGATTACTTATGAGTAACCAGCAGAAAAACTTTGTACAAAAACACAATTGATTTCAATTTAAAAACAAAACAAAACAAACAAATAAAAAACAAGTAGGTTTTATAACTACAGCAGAGAGTTGCAAAATAGTTATGATAACTCTGGAGAAAAATGTTTTTGTCTTAATACAACAAACTTACAGCCTGGAAAAGTTTCTCATCCACTGAAATGTAGCAAAACATTTTATCTAAGTGGTGTTCTGTAGATGTACAAGAATATATAAAATAGACATATTTTTAAATACTGGGCTGTGCACTAATTCACATGGAAATAACAGTAAAACATCATTTCTAGTTCAGGATGAAATTTCAAACAGTTCTTTCTCATGTATACATAAAAAAAATAAGAATATCCTACCCTCTATAAAGGACTTTCTAATTTCATTTGAATGAATGGATGCAAAGTTACTTGAGTGTATTAATATACTGCTTTAAACAGTGTCATGGCTTTGTGATGGACAAGGTTTCCAGCACTCAATGTGTGAACTGGGCTCCTCTGCACCTCCTGTATCTTGTACATTCAGTTCTGCATGTGCTTTAGCTTTATCAAGCAATCATTTCACATATTCCTGGTCCCTGGTGAATTCCATCTTTTCTTCATATTTTAAAATGTGATTTTCACTTGTCTCTGTAGAAGGTAAGTCCATTAAAGGAATATAACGAACTACTGAGTACATTCTTTAAAACCTACATATTACACTTCAGTCTTATTCCAGAGTTCAGGTTCACAGGAACACCAAAGAAGGAAGTCAAGATTAATGGTATGAGGGGAAATTCATTGTTTATTTTGCTAAGAAGTAAGTCACTGTGGTGAGACTTATGTACCAAAAATGCATTGCATAAGGCCCACCAAAGTGGAAGGAAGAAGAATCAAAATGGAAGTTTTGGTAATTATAAAAGAAATGACTTAGAAAGAAACAGCAGAGAGACCAGACAGCTTCCTGCAAATCCACACAATAGATACTTCAAAATTATCCACATATGCGTACAGAAAAGTAAATTGGGTGAATTAGAAGTTCAACATCTTCAAAACATCATGTTTAAAAGAAAGTATGGGGTAAATCTAATAACTGTGAAGCTGGTCAATTACTAAACACAGCAAAATAACAGTTTATCTCAAGGATTACGAAAAATTCAGAAAAAACTTTCATCTTACTTCAGTTATTTATGAATTATATGGATTGTATTACTGTAAACTACTTCAATTTAAGGAACTTTACTTTTAAAAAGAAAAGCCATCTAATATTGAACCACTTCACTGAAAAACAAGTTTAAATCATTGTCATCATGAAAGTCGACTCATAATTCTGATGAATACAAACTAATTAATTTATAAGCTATCATAGAAAAATCAAAGCAAGTGCCTAACAACTAATTTATAAAGCTTCACAAAGTAAAATACCAGCAATATTAACAGGTCGGGAAATAACAGCTTTTAATAAAAAGTAGTAAATGAGAAAAAACAATACTTTGCATTAAGATATTAACCAAAGATTTGAAGGTTTCCTTTGATTCAAAGAATTAAAAAGTAAATATTTTATAATATCAGCATAAAGGCTATATTTGAGTACATACTTTGTGTTAGATCCTCATTTAAAAGACCAAAAAACCAACCCAGAATTTTATGTTTGAAAAAAATACTTGAAAGCATTTTATAAAACACATAAAATAAACTTTTTCTTCAAATTATTTCACAAGATGATTTTTCCTATCAAACCATAATTTTGCCATTGCTGTATTGTGGGAAAGTTATCTTTAGCATTATATACATCTATACTTATCTTAACATCTGTACCATCTGTAAATAATTTTAGAAAGAAAAGTTAAAAGCAATCCTAATGATTAATATGCAGTGTTGATAAATGTTATCTGCATTTATTTTTCTCTGAGAAAACTATCAGAGAATATAAATTAGCAAAGAAGTTACAAAAAAGCTAGGACAAGATTCTTCAAAACTTCCCTGAGTTTACTCAACTTTATTTATACAGCTGCTGTCTCTTCACTTCCAAAGCGTTTATGTTCTAAGAAATTCACCATAAATTGAAAATACTGGTAAGTCAAAAATGCACTTACTATACCTAAACTACCACATATTGTAGCTTAGCAACACAGTGCAGTGTTGCTAAATATCAGTTCTTTTCCTTTGTGACACATGGCTGACTGACAGTGACAGCCAACTACCACTGTAGCAGATTATCAAATCATATCCATCCTGGAAAAAAATAACTAATTTAAAAATTGAAGAATGGTTTCTGTCCAATATATATACCACATATGCACAATCATAAAATCAAAAGAGCTCATGTAAACTTTCTTCAATTGGGACTACCTGCATATTTTGGTGACTTATCAAAATTTCATTTTATATTATAAAATTTGATAATAAAGTTGTTTACAGGTCACCTAGATAAGTGTTACATGATTTTTTAAAAATACAATAAATACTTTTTGAAGTCATTTCACAAAAAAAGCAGATTTGGGCATTTAGGACAATCACTATAACGTCCATAAATTTATATTATCTGGAACTCCTAATAATTGATTCTGATCAAGTCTACCTTCACACATGTTTTTTAAATATATATGACTGTTCTTCATCCTTATGGGTATGCATCTATGTCTGTACCTTTAAGGAAGCAGGTACTTATTATAGTCTTTATATACTGGCTTTGTCTGGGAAAGTCCTATGGCAGACATGGCATTGGGACACACCATAAACTCAGGACAGCTACAGCTGGCCAGATGCCAAGGGTTGCATAGCTTGCCTATACGAAGGGCGATCTGGAGCCTGGGACTACTGACACTGTCCCAACAGTAGGAGCAGGTTGCAGATCCAAGGCGAAGTCCTGTACTTAATGTCCTCCCTTTCAAGTAAAGGGGATTTTGTAACAGGTGTTTAGAAATTGCTGTGTTGAAAACCACTTATTCTTTACTTGGTCCTTTAAATTAACTAAAAGGAAGAGAAAAGTGTGGTATTTTTCTATTT